ACCCATACATCTGCTGGGAGGAGTAGTCAGCCAGGTCTGACCACTCTCATAGGTTCCTAGCTGAGATTCAGGACCTCAACCTAACCCAGGAAGTGCACAGTCCCACCAGGGGAAATGCCTTGCTGGACCTGGTCCTGGCCACAGGCGATGAGCTGGTGAGGGGACTGCAGGTTCTCGACCACCTGGGTGATAGTGATCATTGCCTACTGGAATTCACCATCCAGCGCAGGGTGTCAAAGGCCTGCAGCAAGACAGCAGCCCTGGACTTCAGGAGGGCTGATTTCAATGAGTTAAGGAGATTAGTCAGTGAGGCACTGAGGTCCCAGAGGGGAGGGGAGGGGAGTTGGGAGTCCAAGAAGAGTGGTCGTTCCATAAGGAGACCATCCTCCAAGCCCAAAGGATGACAGTCCCAATGCAAATCAAAGGGGGCAAGAGTGCTCAAAAGCCCCCATGGTTCAACAAAGGCATTCAGGAATGTCTGAAAGCTAAAAAAGAGGCATACACCTAATGGAAGGGAGGGGCCACCACCAAGGAGGATTATACCTCCATTGCTCAAGACTGTAGCGGGGCTGTTAGGAAGGCTAAGGCAGAGACAGAACTGGGACTAGCGACCTGGATCAAAGATAAGAAGTCCTTTTTTTAAATACATAGGGAGTAAAAAGAAGGCACTGGGTAACATGGGGCCCCTGCAGGACATGTTTGGAATAGCTGACCTCTTTAACAAATTCTTTGCCTCCATTTTTCTGAACAGGGACCAGAACATCCCCCCCACTGGGATTCCAGATGGACCCAGAAGAGGCACAGCCAGGCCCAGGGTCAGTGAGGACCTAGTCAGGGAACTTCTGGAGGGACTGGACATGTTCAAGTCAGCAGGTCCAGATGATCTCCACACCAGGGTGCTGAGGGAATTGGCAGAGGTCATTGTGGGACCCCTGGCACAGCTTTACAAGCACTTGTGGTGCTCTGGCCAATGTGGTCCCCATTTCCAAAAAAGGGAGGAAAGAGGACCCAGGAAACTATAGGCCGGTTAGTCTTACCTTGGTCCTGGGGAAGCTGTTTGAGAAAATTATCCAGGAGCACATCTGTGAGGGACCAGCAGGGGAGATTATGCTTGGGGGCAACCAACATGGGTTCATTAGAGGTAGGTCCTGTCAGACCACCCTGGTTGCCTTCTATGACCAGGCCACAAGATCCTTGGATGCAGGTGTCATGGTGGACGTAGTCTTTCCTGACTTTAGGAAGGCCTTTGACACTGTCTCTCGCCCCATTCTCATTAAAAAGTAGTCCCTCTGATTTCTACCCAATGCTGCTAGATCAGAAGTCACTACAGGACTCTGGGTAAAAGGGTGAGGGGGTCTGGGGCTCAGGTTGTGTTCTCACCAATCCCTCAGGTCAAGGGATTAAAAAATTAGGCGACTGTAGTGTTGATGCCTACACAGTCAAATGGGTCACAAATTGGCTGGAGGGCCACACCCAGAGAGGCGGTGGATGGGTCATTTTCGACCTGCAGGGAAATGGGCAGTGGGGTTCCCCAGGGCTCGGTCCTTGGGCCCGCAGTGTTCAACATCTTCATCAGTGACTTGGACAAGGGGGTGAAAAGCACATTGTTCAAATTTGAAGATGGTACTAATATGTGGGGAGAAGTGGGCATGCCAGAAGCTAGGAATAGGCTGCAATCAGACCTGGACAGGTTACAGGGGTAGGTGGATGAGAACAGGATGGGTTTCAATACTGACAAGTGCAGGGTACTGCACCTAGGGAGGAAGAACTAGCAACATACCTACAGGCTGGGGAATGTCCTTCTCATCAGCACAGAGGCAGAAAAGGATCTTGGACTTGCTAGTGATTCCAAGATGAACATGGGCTGCCAATGTGAGGACGTGGTCAGTATGGCTAACCGTACCTTGTCATGCATCCACAGATGCATCACAAGCAGGTCCAAGGAGATGATCCTCTCTATGGAACATTGGTCAGGCCGCAACTGGAGTACTGTTTCCAGTTCTGGGTGCCGCACTTCAGGAGGGATGTGGACAGCATTGAGAGGGTCCAAAGGAAGGCCACTCGCATGATCAGGGGGCAGCAGGGCAGGCCCTACGAGGAGAGGCTATGGGACCTGAACCTGTTCAGCCACCACAAGAGAAGGCTGAGAGGGGATCTGGTGGCTGTCTATAAACTTACCAAGGGGGACCAGCAGGGAATGGGAGTGACCCTGTTCCCCCGAGCACTACCAGGAGTAACTAGGAATAATGACCATAAGTTGACTGAGAGTAGGTTAAGGCTAGACATCAGGAAGCACTACTTCACAGTTAGACTGGCTAGGATCTGGAACCAACTTCCAAGGGAAGGGGTGCTAATTCCTACCCTGGGGATCTTTAAAAGGAGGCTAGATAATCACCTAACTGGGGTCATTTGACCCCAGCATTCTTTCCTGCCTAGGCAGGGGGTTGGACTTGATGACCTGCTCAGGTCCCTTCTGACCCTACCAACTATGAAACTATGACAACAAGAAATCCTTCTTTAGGTATGTACATAACTAGAGGAAAACAAGTGGGAGTGTAGGGCCATTGCTCAGCAACTCAGGACAGCTGGTTACTGGCACTCAGGAGAAAACTGAAGTCCTGAATGACTACTTTGCTTTGGTATTTCACTGGGCCAAGGGGAAAATCATGCCAGATAGGGTACAGAATGGGCTTAGTAGGAATAACCACCTTCCTATTATTGACATAGGACTGGTGCATGATCAATTAAAAAAAATAGGCATATATAAGTCAGCAGGACTGGATGGACTTCATCCAAGAGTGCTGAAGGAGCTGGCCGAAGTCATCAAGGAACCCCTGGTGAAACTCTTCCAAAACTCGTGGTGCTCTTGAGAGGTCCCTGAGGACTGGAAGAGGGCCAGTGTTGTGCCCATCTTCAAGAAGGGGCAGAGAGAGGACCTGGGTAACTATAGGCCAATTAGCCTAACTTCTATCCCAGGGAGAATCCTGGAAAAAATCATTCAGGAGTCTGAGAGAGAGGCTTGCAAAAGGCAGGTTTCTGAGTGACAGCCAGCATGGCTTCATTGTGGGCAGATCTTGTGTTACCAATCTCATCTCCTTCTATGACCAGGTAATTTGCCACCTGGATAAGAGAGAGGAGGTTGACACTGTATACCTTGGCTTCCAAAAGGCCTCTGATCTGGTATCCCATGATGTTCTCATGAGAAAAGTGGAGGATTTTGGGCTTAATTGCATGACAGTCAGGTGGGTAGGAAGCTGGCTATGGGGTAGGACCCAGAAAGTTATAAATAAATCTGTCATCTTGATGAGAAGTGGCCAGTGGTGTCCCTCCGGGGTTGGTGCTTGGTCCAGTGCTGGGGGTGAAGAGCTCACTGGCTAAGTTCATGGATGACACCAAGTTATGGCTGTGTGTGGTCACAATTGAAGACAGGCTGCAGATCCAGGCAGACCTAGACAGGTTAGCAAGATGAGTGGATTAGAACCAGATGAAGTTCAATATCGAGAAATGTAGAGTTCTCCACCTGAGGATGAACAATCCCCAACACACCTGTTAGACCCTGACTCCATGCGGCGCTCAACAACTAGAGAGATGGTCCAATTACCCATGGATCCTGTTACTTATTTGCCAGAGCAAGCAGGGAGCAAACACCAGCTCACATTGCTTGCAACAGTTTTATTCAGAATGGAGACAGCTTCAGACTAGCTCTCACACCAATGGAATATGGGGAGCCGCCTTGAACATTGGTTCTTTTCACATTGTATACACCTTGGTTCATAAATATTAACATTTACTCTGCTCTTGTTCCACCTCTTTCTCCTCCCATCTCAAACTCCACCTCTGTTTACTGTTTACTTCATTAACATGGAATTGCCCATGCATTTCTTTCGTTTACATGCCTCTCTGCTAAGAGGGCATGTGTAAGACCATGAACTCGGGTACTCTCGGTCACTTGCTGGTTGTTTCTTGTTCTTTGCTGATTTCAGCACTATCTCCAAGGTTTGGCTTCTTTCTTATTTCCTGATAATAGCTGGTGGGTTGCATCTTGTCCTTCTTACATAACAAGCTCTAATACTACTTTGTTTAGAAAACTGCTCGCTTAAGCATTTGCAAAGTTAGTTACTTTTAATATATCCTCCAGTCTTGTGACTGGCAGCTTTTTGCTGAGACACAGGACAAAGCCTTCATTCAGCTGCACACTCAGCACCCCCATATTCCATATTGTTATCCCAACATCCAAAATCCATATCGTTACCCTAACAACTTTACCCAGCATTGGTGAGACCACAGCTAGAGTACTGCATCCACTTCTGGGCACTGCACTTTAACAAGGATGTGGCAAAAATTGAGAGAGTCCAGAGCAGAGTCACCCATCTATTCAGAGACTTGCACAGCAAGCCATACGAGGAAAAGCTGAGGGACCTGGGACTCTTCAGTCTAAAAACGAGAAGGCTGAGAGGGGACTTGGTTTCAGCTTACCGCTACACACCAGGGGAGTACATCAAGGGCTTGGCGGACATCTCTTCACCAGGGCAACCTTGGGGAAAACCAGGAGTAATGGCCACAAACTCCTAGAAGATGGTTTCAGGTCCAACATGAGGAAAAACTTCTTCATAGTTAGGGTGTCCAGATTGTGGAATAAGCTCCTTCCAGAGGCAGTGAAATCACCTACTCTGGAAATCTTCAAGAGGAGACTAGACAGTTACCTTGCTGGGGTCACCTGACCCCCAGTTATCTTTTCTCTTTGGTGAAGGGGAGCTGGACCTGATGATCTTTTGAGGTCCCTTTCAGCCCTTACAATGTATGAAAAAAAACCTTGGATGCCATTCATGGTGGAGTTTACACACCTTATCTCTGTGCCTTGATGTTGAAAGACAGTTAGTTGCCAGAGGTATGGTAAGGAGTGGGAAAAAAGATAAAAGGTCAATCTGACAAAACAGCTGAGGAAAGAATCAAGAGAGGAGCAGAACTCCATATTGGCCATTTCACGCACTAGATTCAATTTCTGGAGGTTCAAAATGACTTTGCTGAGATTCATCCTAATTCAGATCCTCTTAGCGTACTCTTCCCAGAAGGCAGGTAAGATGCCAAATGAATCAGGATACAACAGTGTTATAGCACAGCTCTTGCTATAGGGGGATAATAAGTGTGCCTAGTAAAGTCCAAAGTCCAGAAAAATATTTTCTAGTTCTGCTG